TTTTTTTTTTTTTTTTTTTTTTTTTTTAATTCCAGAATAAACAACAAGGAAATGCCTGTATTTAGCGGAAAATAATCAAACTGGAACCTCAGATCTGTCTCTTCCATAGTGGGGTTTATTCAGCCTCCAGACTGGATTGTCTAGATACAGTATAAAAGCTGTGTAAGGGAAAAGTACTAGTAATGTGAAAACTGCTGTTATACTTGTTATGTTCCTAGACAGAAAACTTGTCATCCTTCTAGTATAAACATATTAACATAGGCCATGCGATTACTGGTCGTCTTGTGAGATCTCTAGGTTTTGGTTGGAAGATAACTAAATGATTATCTTCTTTTGGTTATCAGCTGAACACTGACGATATCAGCATCACCTTCATTCAGCAGGTCAATAGGAACTGCTTTTGGTTGGAAGGTAGCTGAGACACTCAGCATTCTGGCAGTTTGTGGCATTTCAGATGCTTGTAGGCACCAGAAGTTGCTACTGCTGTTCTGCTAGAATTCCTGTTTTTCCCAGGAAATGCTACCTAAATAACTTCAAGGGACAGATTAGCTAATGCAGGGGATGATTAAGTGAGTTTTGCATTTTTACATCTTCAGTTGAGGCAAAACTTTTCATCCTCCTGGCTGCCAGTTAATTATTAAGTAGAGAGCAGTTACTGGGAAAAAATATATTTTATCTGCTTATTATGCTGCTAAATTTCCTTTGGCTTGTTGTAGGTCTGTGTAAGTTAAGCATCAGGAGAAATTTCGTACTCTAGCCACACTGGGAGGAAAAAAACCCAGCTATAGTTGTAAGTAGTGTGTACCAGATTCATACCTGGAGAGCTCAACGCTTCTTATGAAGAGGATTGGTTAATAAAATTATGAGATGGATGGATGGAGAAGTATTTATGTAACTGCCAGACCAAGAGAAGTCCTAAGCCTCTTCTCTTGTGTGTCATCTAGCTACGAGAAAATGACTTGGATATTTTTGTCCTTCCCAAAGTTACAGTGCGAGTCCCATGTTAAACCAGAACTATCAGCATTAGTACAGTACAAAGAAATGAGTTTATGGAGCCTGTAAAAATCAGACAGTCTCTTTTTTTTTTTTTCCCCTTTTAAACTAAAATACATTATCCTAATCACTACAAGGAAGGAGTGTCACTATAAGGTAAGTGAGTGACTAGGCCAGATTGTCACATGAAATAGCTTTGTGGCTGCTTAGCATGGTTGCAGTGGCATAAATAGCTTTATCTGGACCTTGCAGGAAATGTGGTTGGGTTTTTTTGTTGTTGTTCTAGCCAATTTTCCCTGGCAGTCTATATGTTTTGTTTAAAGAGAGAGGTATGTGGTAGGGTGAAGAATGGAAATGGACACTAAGGTACAGCTCCCAGGAATGCTGGCCAAGGAAACCTGGCTCTGTGAGTTGCTTAATACAAAGACAAACAATGTGTTTTTGAGAAGTGTTTTTTAAGAGTCCCACAGGTGTATTATGCTTAGCAATACCTGAACTGTACTGCCTGCAACATCAGCATAGTCTTGGAATTCAGTTAGGTGCTGAAATTTTAATGAGGAGCATTCTGGAGATTCCCTTACCAAGTCACAGCCCAAGCACCCAGGGCAGAACCAATGCAAGTGATCAGTGTTGGTGGGAATAGCAGTCTGTGCTGGTACCAGTAGCATCATAACATTAAAGAAAGCATCAGTGCATCTAAGGCTGAAATACTCTCACCTTGCTAATAAAAGAACATATAATATACAGAAACAATGTCATGAGCAAGCACCTCACCTTACAGTGAGAGCACCAGAAAGATTAAGATACACATTTGCACAAAGGCTGTTGCACGACCAGAAGGGAAAAAATATTAGAAAAGTCAGGGATTCCATCTTAGAGTTTGTGTGCAGAATACTAAATATCTGAATTGCCCATGTTTTCAACAATCTGATCTAGGTCTGATAGCAGAAGTAAATTACAAAATAAGCCTTCAGATATGCTTGTCTGAAATACTAGCCCTGTTGAAAACAATGGCAATATCATCTGATAAACATTGTTCAGTGGTCTAATACTGCTCCCTCATACAGCATTTTAAATTGGTTAAAAAGCTTTACCCTGGTTACTACTGGTACTTCACCACTCTAGAGACATTTTCAGCAGGAGTGTTAGGCAATTTATCACCATGTGAGGCCTAAGTTTGAAAAAGAAATGGAAGTTATTTGTAATTTCTGTTATCAGGATATATAACTGATTGATCCTGTGAATCACACAGAATCACAGAATTAATGAGGTTGGATGGGTCCTCTGGAGGTCATCTGGTTGAAGTCCCTGCTCATGCAGGGCCATTGAGAGCTAGTTGCCCCAGAACCATCTCTGGATGACTTTTGCATATCATCAGTGTGGGAGACTCCACAACATCTCTGGGAAACATGTGCCAGGCCTTGGTTATCCTCATAGTGAGAAAATGTTTCCTGATGTTCAGAGTGCACTTCCTCTGCTTCTGTCTCACCCATTGCCTCTGGTCCTGTCCCTGAGTACCTCTGAGAAGAGCCTGGCTTTGTCTTTGTTGCACCTTTCCTTCGGGTGTTTATATACACTGATGAGGTCCTTCTCTCTAGGCTGAGCCGTCCCAGCTCTCTCAGACTTTTCTCATATGAGAGATGCTCCTGTCCCTTCAGCATTTTACTGGCCCTCAGATGGACTCTCTCCAGTATGGCCATGACTCTCTTGTACTGGGGAGCCCAGAACTGGACACAGCATTCCAGGTGTGGCCTCACCAGTGCTGAGGAGAGGGCAAGGATCACCTCCTTCAACCTGCGGGCAGCATTCCTCCTGTTGCAGTGCAGGATACCATTCGCTGCCTTTGCTGCAAGGGCACTTTGCTGGCTTGTGTTCAACTTGGTGTGGAACACAAACACCAGCACGTACTGGTGCATGAGGGTTGTTCGCTCAGGTGCAGGACTATGTCCTTCCCTCCTTGATGAACTTCATGACGCTTCTGTCAGTCCATTACTCCTGCCTGTTGAGGCCCCTATATACCATATAGGGCATCTTTTGGTGTGGCACATTGTCTTGCCTCTGTTTCACTAGTCCTTGTGGCATCCCTGCCAATGTCTTCTCTGAGTCACTTTTTTCATACACAACCTGGAACACCCCTCTCCACCAGTCAGCCTTTGTATATGGAGCCCTGACTAAGTTCTGAGGAAGTATGGGGAGGCATGGGCCTATATTTTATCCAGATAAAAAGCCCTGTTATTCAACTGGCCTGTGTGTCTCAGTGTAGGTGAGCAACAGCTGTGTGAAGAGCTTATTGCCTCTTCAACAGTGGTGCAGCACCTTCTGATTCCTTTGGGAGAGTGGATAAGGTTGTGCTCTGGCAGAGACCAGGTAGTGTCCTATACAGGAGCTGGAAAGAAACAAAATCCCATGAAGCAACTCTTGTTCATACAATACAAGCCATGCAAGCCGGCTGTGTCCAGTGCGTATCATTGTGGGTTTCTGCCTTGATGACTGATTAGGAGATTGGAGTTGTCTGATGACATAAGTCTTTGGGCTGCATTGGTAATGCCCAGCTGGGACGCTGGGCAGAAAGGAAAATATAGTATAGCAGGTTGTTGGGTGGACAGTGCTGGTGTTGCTGTGGTTGTCTGTGGAGGGGGTGATGTCCCTCAAACAGGATCCGGTACATGCTGTGTAATAAGAGATTTGTTTATTCCATGTTTGCTCAAAGAAGGGCATTAGGTGGTAATTCCACAAAGCTAGCACACCACACAAAAGAACTTTGAGGTATTTATACACTTCAAACTCCATGAATACGCATTTACTGTAATGACCATTCGTTAGTTTATTTTAGTTTCTTACCACTTTGTCCCTTATTGCTTAACAACGTGCCTCAACTCAATTTGAAGCTACACAACTTTAAATTCTTCACAGACTTGAAGGGTGAGGAGGGCATGTCCTCTTGGTCTTAAATTGAGTTGGTGGTCGTGGTCTCCCTCTGCTGCCTTTACCTTTCCCCCAGCTACTGCTGACTGACTTATTCTTCTCAGTCCTTTGGGCCTTCTGGGGCAGGATGTTACCCTCTTATCAGCCTTTTAGCTCCTCTTCAAGAGTATAGCTGTTAGCAAGGCCTCCATGGTTTATACAAAGTGTCAGGCTTACACCATAGAGCCAGCGATTAGTGGTCCTCCTTTGAAGATCAGTGCAGTACATTTGATCCTAAATTAAAGGGTCACTATAGCTTTGGCATTAACCAGAACATACGCTTTTACTTAGTCTACAGTGAGACAGGGTTTGATTCAAGAACAGATACATCGTCTTTAACAAGATTCAGGCACTAGTTTCCTGTGTGGTGCAGGGAGCCTTTTTTCCTGGTATGCTCCGTGTTCCTGCTTTGGCAAGATGATCACCCAATTTGCTGTGAGAATAGCCATGAGTTTTCTGAAGCATGATGATGTGAACTTGTGGGATAAGTTCTGGTGCAAGAAAACAGCATTTTCTGTCCCTCTTAATCTTCCAGGTGACTGCTTAAGTGCTGCTCATTGGTAGCTCTCAAGGCAAAGACTGCAGTATTGAGCTTAAGACTGCTGAGAGAGGTTGTAAATACAGCCAGGCTCAGCCACGCTCTTCATCTGTAAGTAGAGATCATCCTTTCACTGTCTGTATTGCCATTAATTGATGTGGTCTCAACATAAAAAGCACTTAGCTACACCTGTTAACTGTGGGGCTTTTCAGCAATGAAATTACTTATCATTCAAGATAAATATGGTTTGAAGTAAAGGTGTGGGCGCGTGTGCCGGGTCGCAAACTGTCTGCATCACTGACAATGTAAAAGTGTCATCAGCATTCAGGTTAGAAGATTTACGATGTCTAAATTAATGACGCACTTGTGTTAGAAGACTAACGGTGTCTAGATTAAAGATGGCTAAAAGCAAAATAATTTGTGCATGTTAGGGAAGAAACAGATAAGAAGGGATTCTTTAGAACAACAAAGCAGAAATTTATCTACCGGTTGTGCACGCTTAATAGTGCTTGTTGAAAGTGCTGAGAGGAACGAGTTTCTGAAATGAGCATGCGCCAGAGCAACACACGGATTTGCTGTTACAAGAGTATATAAGGACTTGTTTTTCTAATAGACATTTGAGCTTGAGTGTTAACCATATTGCTATGTGTCTCGTCTCACAACCTCGTCCTGCAAAAATAAGGCCTCCTCCTACAACAGGTGACTCCGACGTGATGGCTCTTAAAATTGCTTAAATGCAGAGCACTCCACAGCATTGCTGAAGGTGCTTGCAGGAGAAGAAGCAGGAGAGCACGGGATGAGTTACTGAAACCTGGAAATCCTGCAGGTATGGAAACAGATGCGGCACTAAAACTGCTGTTAAGTATCCTCTCTATCAGAGTCAAAGAAACAGCTCTTAGCAATCTTAAAAAGCTCACTGTGTGAGCGCATGGAGAACTTTTTTTGAGATAGTAAAAAGACAAAATAATGAACGTGGCCGGGCTGTTAACACAGAGAATGAGAACACAGAGGGCAAGGATGCATATTTTGAACCCCGGGAGCAAGATTTATATGCTGGGTCTTTTGGCTGTGATAATCTTTTAGACCCTGTTGCTGTAAATCCTGAAAAAGAATCTGGCCTGCATCCTCCCTTAGCTGGGGATTATCTGTGGGTAAAAATTGAGGCACGGACACAAACTCTACAACCAGGAAAGAATTATAAAGCAGGCATGTTTATTCCTACCAGGATGCAAGGGGATTTCTCCACAAAGCTTGCACCCCCCACAAAGCTTGCACGCCATCTTTGGCAAGTAGCCATCTTTTATTTAAACATACATATTCATTTTGTTATAATCAAACTATCTAGTTTTAAATATAAATATATTTTTAATTGGGTTCAATTGATTTAGGGTGAGAAACAATAGACAAAGCAGTGCAGGGTGTGCTGGAAGTTTCCACTCTACCAAGACACACACAGAGTTCTAAAAAGCAGCGTCTTTTATACTCCTGTACCACTGTCTTAACCAATCCTCTCTTGTCAGATGATTGTCCTGCTCTTTCTCCATTGGATCCTTTGAAAGTCTCGAAGTCTTGGTCTCTTGGTGCGCTTTTCTCCTATTGGATCTTTTAAAAGCCTCATGATCCCATCTTTTGGCGGGCTTTTCTTCCAGCAGCAGTTACATATTATCTCTAGGTGATGGGGTTTCCGAGAAGCGGTTTACCTATCAGCTCTAGGTGATGGGGTTTCCGAGTAGTTACACTTTTCCAACCGAATGGCATACTTTATATTTTATCCATGTATATTCAAACATTCATTGTAATATAGGTTATAGTAACTGCAAATCATTTCAAAACCCACACAGGGTACCATACTCTATTTTTACTATACTTGTGTATTGTAAAATACAGCAGGGTAGTATGGTTTAACACTTACAGATCATTCAAACCTATTGTACCCGCCTTGCTTAACTTAGCAAATTAGTTACAAGAGTTTATTACAGTCCCCCTTTTTCTTTTTATACATTAATTTGCTGTTTAAGCTTAAAAATAGCTTCCCTAGCAGCCCCTAAAAAGTTGGCATCTTCTAATTCAGTCTCTAATCTGTGTTCTTCTTGTTGGGTTAAGTTGGTATATTGTTGCCTTAATATCATGAGTTGGACAGTTTCAATCCTATTCTTAACAAGGTTAATTAATTTGTTCAAGATACAAGGTCCAAAAGTGAGAATTAATAACAGAATAATGAGGGGTCCAATTAAGGTTGTTATTAGGGTGGTCAACCAAGGGGATTGATTAAACCATGATTCAAACCAGTTTTGTTGAGCTTCCCTTTCCTTCTTTCTTTGTATAATGCCCTCACGCAGCTTGGTCATGGATTCCTGAACCACCCCAGAGTGGTCTGCATGAAAGCAGCACTCTTGCCCTAGAGCTACACAGAGCCCTCCTTGCTGTAAAAATAATAAGTCCAACCCCATTCTATTCTGTAAAACGACCTCTGAAAGGGAAGTAAGGGACTTTTCTAATAATGATATTGATTTTTCAATTCTTTCTAAATCTTCATCAACTGCAGCCCTTAAGGATGATAACCTTTTATGTTGTTGTACTAGAGAAGTAATTCCAGTTGCTGCCCCTGCAGTTCCTAGACCTATGAGGGTCGCAATTGTCAGGGCATGAGTGGTTCTCTTTTCCTTATCCTGAGGTTATTATTATTCCAATATTCAAAGACCGACTCTTTTGGATGATATAAAATCCGAGGCATGACTTCTATTTGTATACAAAATTCTTTGCTTTCATTAAACACAGTTAGGGACAAACAGGGACTTAGTCCTGTCTCTGAACAAATCCACCATCCCCCTTTTTTTGGTATAGCCCATTTATTCCCAGCTTTGTTTATTTGTCGTGTCTTATTTCACACAAATTCTTTTGGTTTCTAGGCACTTTTCCTGTGCATTTCCCTTGCCCTCTAACTTGTTGCACAGTAAGCCTGATTTTCTTTTTATTCCATTTACATTGTTCTGGGATAGCTTCATGACTTAGGCAGTATGTATCCTTAAGTCCTATCCCTTCGTATAAAGGTGGTCTTACATCATAACACAACGAACAGCCAAGAGTAATGTTAGGATTGGTACTGTTAAGGGCTTGGTATGCAGTTTGTACCAGTTGCCATAAGGGGTTAGATTCTATGCATCTCAAAGCAGTAATATTCTCCTGGGTATTTCTTGTGTGTCTCAAAACAGTAATATTTTCCTGGGCATTCGTGATGTTAGTTCCAATTTTATCTACTACTGTCTTATTCTGGCCAGTTTCATTTGTTATTACTTTATTCTGGCCCACGGGTTTAGGTTCAGATGTCAGTAGGACAGGTCTTTTTTGGATCAGGATTAATCCTCCCCTATCAGTTCCAGGTTCCCTCAGCATTATGCCCCAAGTTCTCCCTACAACCCATCGTGGTTCTTCAGGTTTCTGCATTGTCAGGGTCAAATTTTTACAATTTGCAGCGTTGAGTACACCCCCGGAATGGTCATAGGTTGGAGTTTGACAATGTTTAGGGCTCCACCCGACTTTCAGATTTTTGTTCTTCTCTAATACATCCCAAGCAGTAGCTATAGTTTCACAACCCGAATAGGCACAATAAAAATAACCTGGTGAGTTGCAATAACTTCTTCCTGGATTCGAATTTGGACACCAATAAGTGGCCTTTATGTTAGTTGCTCCCCAGCTCCATTTGATGTTCAAAGTTACAATGAGACCCCAAAGTAGGGCTCAATAAGTCACAATTGGTGACATTGAACGTGGGAGCTCCAGAGGTAATCACTTTTCGAATTATTGTTGAATCCACAAAGTGGGCTAAAATCCATTCGAAAGGTTAGTGTATCCAATCATTTGTTACACTTTTAATATAGATTAGGTATAACAACACTAGAATACCACTCATACTTCTGTGCATTGTCTTCAGTCGTAGGCTTACTAGTGGATGTATTTTATCCAGATTTTATCTCCACCATTACACCACTCTGTCCCCTTTGCCTACTCCTTTGCTTGGAGCAACGAGGTATGAATTCTTCTTGACAGCAGTGGTATTCTTCAGGAGCTATTCTTTTCAGTCATAAAGCTAATTACCTGAAGACACACAGTCTATTTTGAGTTTTATTCTAGATTTATAATTGCCAATCAAATTTCAAAGTCTAAATTTGTTGATATTTCCAACTATTTTGTTGTTGTGCCCGCTTCCAGGCAAATCATGTGGCACACTGTCTCAAGACTTTATGCTACTCTGTCTCATATACTTCCCAGGTTGTAGGTATTAGCAACTCCTTTCCACAAAATAAAGTACAGATCTCTAGTTGAGCAAATTGTTCTCTACTGACTATTATATTATCTCAGCACTGCATACAATAAAGTTGCCTTTTAAATGAAATACAAGACCATTTTCTATTACAATATGAACATTGACAAGTAACCCAAGATGAGTGTCCAGAGGTAGGATGTTTTATGCATGGAATTTCCAATATATCTTCTGTTGCAGGCAGCTCAGGTATATCAGTTTCTGTTTCACAACAGAAAGGGTGGACCTGCGGCGTTCCCGTTAACTTATATACCCACC